ACAATCCATAGTATAGGTACTCAAAATATTTGATGAATAAGTGAATTTCAGAGTTCTGTCTAAGGTGAACTAGAAATTAACTAGAGTTTTCTTTAGGATACAGGAAGCCTTCAGGAATCTGAATGTGTCTACCCAGAGTCTTTGAGATTTCACCTAGAATTTGAGATTTTGCCTGGAATTTGCCTGCATTTTCCACACCCATAGCTCTAAATGTTAACCGATTCATTTCTCTTAGAAACAGTCTGTTACGTGTGATGACAAAAATACTGATTAACAAAAGGCATGCCCTTGGATTATGGGTTGTTTAAGTCCATTCTTAAACTTCAGCAGATATCTTGCATAAACTATTCACCCTTTTCGGTGGTAAAATCTGTTCTGAAAAGAAATGTTTTCAAGGAGAAAAGTTGCTTTTGGGGGAAGAAGACTTATTATACACAGACATTCTTAACTAGCAACATTTTGACTGAGTGCATGCTATGCTAGAGAGTGCATGCTATGCTGGAAAGCGCATGGAAAAAAAGCAAGGGCAGCGAGGACATTCACATGAGGTATGAAAGGAAAAACCCGTACAAGGAATATAAAAGGGCTAATATGGTATGGAGACAGGAGATATGTAAGAACTAGTCTGGGCATCTACCAAGGTTTACCGATGAAACAACTTTTATTTTGCTCTCATGCAATAGTCCTGGAGTGAGCAGATGAGTAAGACAGGAGCTTTGCTTTCTTGTGGACCCAGAAATCTACTTTTTCACTCCTCCAGAAAGGTGTTAGGGTGTTGTATTTGACATCACGGTCATGAGTAGGATATCAATGAGAGCACTATCTGTAAGGAAATGAGGAAATTCATGAAGCATCTAGGAGAGGCTGAAACTGCCCCCCCAACCCTGCCACAAAAAAAATCTTGATAATGAAGGAGGTTCACTTACTTAGGGTTAAGTCCATTTCATACCCAAAAAGGCAATAACTTCTGCAAATAATACAACAGCCATGTTTACTTCTACAAAAGAGGAAATGACCCAATTATTGCCAAAGTTTGACTCCAGTTTTGAAAACAAGTTCTGGGTATTTAATAGCATCATTCACACCTTAATTGTTAAACAAGCTTCCTCCCATGGAAGTCAGGAAAAGAAAAAAAAATAACTAATATTGGTTTGCCATACTATTTATCAGAATCCCTTACAATTTAGGAAAAACAAAATTGATAATATAATAGAGCAGATTCACAATCACTGTCCTAGCTATAAAGAATTTTAATTTCATGGGCTCTCCCTGGTAGGGCAACGGGTTAAAGCGCAGTACTATGAAGCTATCTGCAGCTGCTGCAGCACAAGTTCAATACCTGGTCAGGTGGCAGAGCTCTCCTGAACCACCCGCTGCTCCCCTTAGCAGTGTATTTTATCAGTCTACTTGTTCTTCTCCCCACTCTCTCTGTCTCATTCACCCTATCTCCCACACCTCTGGCCTGTACCCCAGTTCTTGTATAAATCAATCAATCTTAAAAAAAGAATTTTAATTTCTTCGTGAATCAAAGCCCTGGCCCAAACATTGCCATTTCTCTTAAAAACCGATTTCCAAGTAATTCTCGTTTAATTTTTTAACACAGGTGCATTTTTTGAAAAGAACCTCCTGAGAAACTTTCAGCAGTTGGATTTGGCAGGAAACTGTGTGAGCAGTGATGGATGGCTTACCTTTATGGCTGCAGTTGAAAACCTTAAGCAATTAGTGTTTTTTGATTTCAGCACTAAAGGATTTTTACCTGAAGCATATTTGGTCAGAAAACTTGGCCACGTATTATCCAACTTAACATTTTTGCAAGAAGTTAGGCTTGTTGGGTGGCAATTTGATGATGATGATCTCAGTGTTATAAGAGGTAATTTTAAACTAGTAACTGCTTGAATAAAGGGCACCTAAGCCCATGAATGCTCTGGAAAACCTATTATTTTTGGCCTGCTGATTTAATCTTGGCTCATAGTTCACAAAGTCTATGGCAATCCAGTATACATTTAAAGCTTATCCTTCTCCTGCCAACCTGTGACTATGTAAGTGCTTTTTTTCACAAATCTTTTCCCTTTGTAAAACAGCAGTTGCAACTCTCCTGCCCACTTGTATTAATGCAGGTGTCTCTCTTGTTCTTTCTTCTTTTCCTAATAAACCTGCCCTTTTAAAATGTAAAAAAAAAAAAAAAAAAAAGTGAATGTAAAAATAAATTATCCCTGGTGGTGCAGCAGGTTAAACCACAGCACTGCAAGCAAGCCACAGCCATTTCAGTGAGAGTTCAATCCCCACCCCAGAGGTGATCCACATGGCATGGCAGACCTCTCCTGTCTCACCCGCTGCTCCCCCTCAGCATTGTACTTCGTTGATCTGCCTGCTCTGCTCTGCACTCTGACTCTGGTGAATCCTCTCACCACCCCTGAACCTCTGGCCTGTACCTCAGTTCTGTGTGCATAATCGTTTTTTTTTTTAAAAAGTACTAAAGAAACAAATCAGCATTATGTAAAACCAGAAAGAATAATCCATGCATGAACTTTAAATGTATGAATTAAAACAATGTAATGCAAACAATGTGGAATGTAGAAAACATTTTTTTTTATAGTGGATGCAGATCAGACTTCTCAAATAGATTGTCATTCTTTAGTCCAGAAAAAATTGGCAGTTTAAGAGCAGCTAAATGAGAGGCTTGAAATCCAGTTGCATAAAATAAGTCAGCTGTGACTTCAGGGATGAAGGAAGAAAGCAAAAATTTATTCCATTCTTTTGTAGCTTATAGAAGTTAAGAGTGCTAGGTTCTAAAATCTTCTAGGTTCTAACATGCCTCACAAAGAAAGACTAAGAAAATTTTTTTAATCTAAACAGATTTAACATGAGGCAAATCTAAAATTAAAAAAAAAAATCAAAAAGCTAAATGGTGTTAGCTTATAATTCACATATTCTCACACCACCTCAAACTAATAGCTTAATTGCTGAGATAGGTAACAATAGCAAGTACCTTGAGGTAGTCACTGGAAAGAAATTCAGAGAATATTCTGTTTACCTCAAGAGGTGGGCCTCCCTGGTGGTGCAGGGGTTAAAGTCTCAACACTATTAAGCTATCACCAGTCATTGCTACCTGAATTCAACTTGTCCAGGGAGTTGACCCACATGGTACAGCAGACCTTTCCTGTCTCACCCACTGCTCCCCTTATCAGTGTATTTCAGTAGATCTGCCTGTTATGCTCCCCACTGTGTCTCTGGTGAATCCTCTTACCCCTGCACCTCTGTTTTGCACCCGAGTTCTTCTATGCATAAGTAAATCAATCTCTTAAAAAATTTGAGGTAATATTTTACATATTCATTGCCCACCCTAAATTTATAGATGAGAAAGTTTATTTAGTGTGCTGACATGCCCATGGTTATAAAACTATTTGTACAGTGGTGACATGCATATCCAAATCCAAATTTCTTGCCCTGTCCAGTGGTTTTTTCATCACATTTCTCAAAACAGTTCATCATATTCCATGGAAGTTGCTCTTAATCACAGCCCCAGGTAAAATATTTAATATCAACTTTCTTTCTTGTCTAGCCTGAAAACACGAAAGCCTTAGGTGGCAAGATTTACTAATAAGGTAAACTGATGCTCATCAAGTATGTCTTTATACCAATTGGCTAGAGCTTGGCAAATAACACTTTCCTATATAATAATGCATAGACCCGTGCCATCTGCAGCACTGGCATTACCGACTTTAGCAAGCAGCACCAATTCCTTCAGAAACTATAGGCAACCCAGTTATCTTTTCTCGATAGTGAGTCGACAGCAAAGGCCTTTGATGAGACAACTACACAGGTGTTGCCTGTGTGTCCAGGAATTTAGTCATTTAATGACAGAGACCTGTGTTCCATACCTGAACACTTTTTAAAACGTCACAGGAATGGAGAAGATATACATAGAGTAGATATACATAGAGTGGCAGCACATACCTCTTAATTATCACTCCGTACATGGCAGCTCTTCAGATCCCATGCATGACCCACTTCACATTTAGATGAGGTTAAAGGAGGAGAAATCATCCTGTAACAGTAGACCAATAGTTGGTATAATAATGGTTGGAGAAAGAAAGTAAGACAAAGGATAAGGAACAGGTTGCCTTGTACACTTTACGGAGTTTTCATTTTGCCCTGCTGTCAAGGTGGGTAGGCTCTTATTTCTTTAGCAGGTCAAATCGCTCAAAAGGGTTGACACAATTTTGCTTGACAGAAATGGCTTCTTGCATATTATTCCATGGTGAAGAAGCAGGATATAAAAAAGAGAATGAGTTGATTGAAGAAGCTGTTGCAAATTCTGTGGAAACAAAAATCTCTACGAGAACAACCTGATGGCTAAAAGTCATAAATCCACAGAAGTACTGGATTTTAGAAAAGTTGAATCTACTTTTAAAATCCCTTTTTAATAACCTAAATATAAAACTCATGATAAACATGTTTTAAAACCACATAGGTAATGTATGACTATTGCTTATTATTCTTTTTATAAGTAAGACTGGTCATGTTGGAAAGACCTTAACATTTACTTTTGAAAAATAATTTTAAAATAATCTATATAATTCTCACACTCCATTACAATTTGTTATTGGTCTAATCATAGTTAACATTCCACTATTTTTGACAAAACAAAAATACATTATAAACAGCCTGTTGTAAATCTAATAATAATGTATTCCTTAATCTATGGTCCATTATGCATTTATAAAATTATATAATGTAAGCATTGTATGGAATTACATATCTTTTGATAATATATTTGATATATCTTAATAAGAAGAAAAAAATCAAATCAAAAGATAAGTGTCATTGTGTCAGTGTCCAATTAAATGTAAGATATAAAACTGGGATCCTTTCATTACACATCACCAAAGCATTTGGTATTCATTTAACCAAAATAAAATACTTCAGAGAATCATGGAATAAAATTTACAAATATATTGAAAAATTTTAATGAGAAAAATGATTTAAAAAACTGATAACTTAAAAAATTATTATACTAGATAGAACATGTTCTAAATTTTCTAATAAAATGCATTTCCTTTGCAAGACATAACTCAGGAGGCTCTCAAAGGAAAATGTAGCAATTAAGTTTGGAAAAGCTATAAAAACAATATTTACTATTAGAACGGACATTTTTTTCCCCCTTTCCTAAAATGTGTATTATTACTCAAGGAGCATATTTATAAATTTCACTTAAGAAAGAATTATACTTTTAATAATGTGACAGACTGACTCCATCACATGGCTGTCTCATAAAGGTAATGTCATATTACACTGCAGTCAAATACAAAATCAAAGATAGCAAAATTCAAATTTAGACAAATATACATTCTAAAGGAAGCCTATTTAATGCCTATAACATTTACTAGGATCTCACAGTCCCAAATACATTTTACAAAAATAGTTTCATGAAATATGAACAAGCCTATTGTTCTCTAACATTTAAATGATTGAACAGTCAATGCAAAGGGGAATCATTTAATAAACTGGAAATCAATGAGTCAATATTCCTCATAAAAATAAGTTAAATTGCAACACATCATGGTCTTGGTTGTCCAATTCTACTGTTAGTTCCGTATCTATTTGGTATATTTGGAAAGCCAGTCCTCAATCCATGGGTTGCTCCAATTCCTGTAATTCCAAGTCCTTGATTAAGCACATTGCTATACGGTGTAGATCCATGATTAAGGCCCAAACCATAAGGTCTTTGTGTGTTCAGAAGAATAACTGGGTTCACATTTTTTCCAGGGGTGTTAAAAGAAAATTCTGGAGGTGGACTACTAGGTTTGGCTGGAGTCGATGTGACAGGGTTCAAATCATCAGTGTTCTTTAAAGTAGGCATTGGGATTATGTAATGATCTGAAAAGTTTAGCACATTGGCTGCAACTGGCCCAGACATTAAGGCAGGCCTAACCCAATCGTCCTTGAAAATCTGAACAGTCAAAATAGATACTAAAGTGTACAGTCTATTGGTCACATGAGCAAGAACCATTTGTTCATTTGCATCTCGTCGAATTCTCACATGCACTGATCCAGCCTAAATGAGGCAAAATCAAAAGAGAATGCTTAGAATTGCATTATTGAAATTTACATCAGAAATGAATACTGTGGTCCTCGCTGGTGGCACAATGGGTTAGGATGCAGCATTGCAAACAAGCCACAGCTGCTTCAGTGCTAGTTTGATCCCTGGCCCCGGAGGTGACCCACTTGGCGCGGCAGACCTCTTCTGACGATGCTCCCCTCAGCAGTGTATTTCATTGATCTGCCTTTGGTGAATCCTCTCACTGCCCCTCACCTCTGGCTTGTATGTATGGATAAATAAATAAATAAATCTATGTTAAATAAATCTATGTTCCCAATCTATGTTCCCAAACTGTTTTCAACATTCAAGAATTTAAGAAATAATGTTCCTAAAGGTTCTTCCTGAGCATTTTACTAGAAAATGAGTTTCAGACATCCAAAATGAATAGAGGGGAAAAGTAGGGGAAGGCAGTGAAGAAGTATTATACATTAAAAGAGTGTGAGCCTGAAAAAAAAAAAAAAAGTGTGAGCCTGAAACCAAAGCTTGCAAAGGAGCTATGGCTGAGCTTTAAGACCTGCCCAAATTTGCCTACCTCTGAAATTTCTGTTATATTAGAAAAATCAAATCCTATATTTTAAAAATGATGTTATAGATGAGTAATATTTAGTGACATGAAAAACAGTATTAGGTGAGAATAAATTACAAAACAGCATAAACTCATTTTCTAAGGAAAGTAAATATCTAAGTTTAAATACCAAAATATCAACAGTTTTCTGTACATGAAAGGATTATCTGTATTTTCTTTATCATTCCTGACTAGGAATGAAATTATGCTATAGCAAAGTGTGTCTCTGATAATGAGTTAAAAACTGTATTAGAAAACATGGATTTTGTAAAGCAAATTGTACTATTATAGCTCTTTACATATTCAGCAAAAACTCCAAAATTAGAACTATAATTAAAAGGGCTAAGGCCCTCCCTGGTGGCGTAGCGGGTTAAAGCACAGCACTAAGAAGCTAAAGCCTCTTCCGCATGAGTTCGATCCCCACCTGCCCCGGAGGTGACCACATGGCATGGCAG